TTTCTTTTTTTCTTTTTATTCTTTTTTTTTTTTTTGGTCCTTTCTTCAATAGGACTTGAGTTTAGATTTCCACTTCCGTGCACTGAATAGTTGCAGGCCAGCATCATAATCTTCAGTGATAAGATCCTGGCCCTGGAAGAGCACAGCTCCAGACCTCCCAGGATTCACAGGAAGGGGAAGTCATGTGGGTCCTCAAAAAAGAGCTCAAATGTCCAGAGCCTTGATTAATTGCTAATATGAAGGAGCAAAGAGACCAAGGGATTATCTAGGGTCCTTTCCAAGTGCAAAATGTTGGAATTCTTTGAAGGAAACATGACAGTTGTCAAATTAGTAGGGGGAAATAATGTGCTAAAGGAAACAGAATAGGATAAATCTCACAGGGCTTGGTCAGTTGTGGACAGGATCCATGGAAGCTGGAGAGACTTGAGCTTAATTTTGAAGGCTTACTATACTGAAGGAAGAGGGGATAGTTGAGTGAAGGAGAAGTTGCTACAAAAGAAATATATTGTGAGCAAAAAGAGAAATGAAGCAAGGTGTGTGTGTGTGTGTGTGTGTGTGTGTGTGTGTGTGTGTGTGTGTAGGATAATGCCTAGCTCAATACATCTATTCCCCAAAAGCATTGGCTGATGAGAACAGAGCTGCATGCCAAAAAAGACATTAGACTTTATTTCCTGGGAACTTGACTGTGGCGAGCTCTTAGACGAACAAGACTCCCATGGGCCTTGTTGACAAGGGCAACACCTGGATAGTACAGAGTGAAATGCTTCCTTGGTGCTATATCATGTCTCCAAGTGACTGCATTCCTGAGAACATGCCTTGCAGGATGGGAGCCACAAGCAGATCCAGTTGACAGGGCTGGCTTCCTGAGATCCTATCACCCCACAGAATGGGAGTCAGTAGCTATGGGAAGGATGATCCAACAGCTGCTGCTTATCTGCAGCAGGTCAGAAAGGAAGATGGATGTTCTGAGGACAGCCTTCTTGAATGAGTGTGTTTGGGAACTGAGGAATTCCCATAGGGTTTTCCATTATTGCTTGGCAGCCACGATGAAGAGTGTAAAATTACATACCTTAGGTGCAAACAAACCATAAAATGCACAGAATGGCTGGGGGAACTGTGTAGAACAGGTCATGGATAATGGTGAACAGAAGTTCATCTCTTAAAAATAAATAAGGAAATGATGAAACATGGAGGAAGGAAGAAAGTATAAAATTATCTTAGGAAGCATCATCAAAGACATAATTTTGCATCGTTATACAGGATAAGAAGTAAAGATAAGGGCTGGGGAGATTGTTCAGTGGTTAAGAGCACTGGATGCTCTTCCAGAAGATCTGGGTTCAACTCCCAGCATGGTAGCTGACAACCATCTAGTTTCAGAGATCCAACACCTTTTTCTGGTCTCCTCAGGCACCAGGCACACACATGGTACCCAGAAAAACTTTCAGACAAGACAGCTATATGCATAAGATAAATTAAATTTACAGTTTTGAAAAAATAAAGATGAAAAGCAAGAGATAAATATGATTGCAAAACGAGAAGACTAAACTACAAGTCAAGTTGAAGGAGGTGTGACAGCCTCATTGTCAGCTGTGACACTCGCTTGGAGAGCAAGATCTCTCATGAGGCACGAGGGGAAATCTGGAATTTCTTTAGTTCAAACTCTCAAGTCCACATTATGCAGTCCCTTGCAATATCTTGAACTTAACCGTGGCCATGGTGGGAGGATATCTGTTGATCTGTTTGCCATTCAGTTTGTCCAAAAGCCTTAATGATCACAAAGAAACGACGAGATTTGGTGTCCTTGAATCATTGGGAGAATCTGGTGCATCTAGAAGATAAAATTATTTTTTAAAAATCTAAAAGATTAAAAGAAATCTAGAAGGTAGGTTAGCCTCCATCTCTATAAGTGTTTTTTATACACACATACAAATTAAACTCACAGGTAGCTCACATTATAAGAAATATTTGTCTCTTCATGACAGCAATCAATCATTTTGTAATATCACACTACTTGTACTTAATTCTTCAGAAATATACCTATTATGAAAATAATGTCAATGTGGCTTTGTTCTATTTTTCTTACTAGGAATTGCTTTTCATAAAAATCAAAGTCATTTGTATATTTAAAGTAATGTGTTCTAATTCACTGTATCACTAAATCACCTACATACCATTGTATCTTAGCTACCATTCTGTATTGTGAGAGACACCACAACCAAATCAACTCTCATAAAAGAAAGCATTTAACTGAGGACTTGCTTACAGTTTTACAGGGTTTGCCCCTTACCTTCATGGTGGGAAGTCTGGCAGCAGGCGGGCATGATGCTGGAGAAGGAGCTGAGAGCCACATCCTGACCCGCAGGTAGGAAGTGGCGTGGGCTCGGCATGGGCATTTGAAACCTCAAGGCCTATTCCCAGTGACACACCTCCTCCAAACATTCCACATCTACTCCAACAAAGCCACACCTCCTAATCCTTCCCAAACAGTTTCACCATCTGGTGACTAAGCACTCAGATACATGCACCTATGGGGGCATTCTCATTCAAATCACCACACCCATATTACTCAAATAATATAGATTACTTCCAACTTTGGAGGGCTTAGTTTCCATTTACTCATCTTTTCAGAAGTGCTAGCTTTACTATGAATCAAAACACCACATAATTAGTATGTTTAATATTCAGTCATCAAACATCAGATTTTTTTAGTGGCTATTATTGAATAACATTAATTCCTACATACTCCAAAGTGAGAAGAATAGAAAGCTTTAAGGTACAAATAACTCCCTAATGTTTCAGTTAGAATTGAAATACATGGTAAAAACAAAGTAAGTATTATAAAATAAAGAGTGAATGCCCATGGGACTTAGTAAACTCTAGTTAGTCTTAAAGTTAGTCTTAAGTATTTTACACCAGACCTGCTGCAGTTCTTTGAGGTGGATTGTGATGCTTTGAATGAAAATGCTTTCCATAGGTTCATAGGGAGTGGCACTGTTAGGAGGTGTGGCCTTGTTGCAGTAGGTGTGACCTTGTTGGAGGAAGTGTGTAGCCGGAAGTTTTCCTGTGTCCCACAACCACTTGGTCCCAAGTAAACACACAGAGGCTTATATTAATTACAAACTGTTTGGCCAATGGCTCAGGTTTGTCATTAATTAGCTCTTACAACCCATGTCTATTAATCTATGTTTGCCACGTGGCTTCATGCATTGCCTGTGTTCATTACATCTGCTCCCCAGCAGTGCTCATCATCTCCTTTGACTGCTTTTTTTCCTCCTTGTCTCTCTGCTTGGATTCTCTTCCCGGCTCTAATCTGCCTTGCCATAGGCCATAGCAGCTTCTTTATTAACCAATGGTAGCAACACATATTGATAGCATACAGAAAGACAAAACTTTAGACTTACCAAGATAAGATAGATAAAAGTATTTTCTCTAAATTTTGCCCAATGCAAATGGGTTAGATAGTGTTACTATAATTCTTACTTAATAACTGTTTTGTTGTATATAATCTTACTATGTTAAAGTTAAAACCTTCCTTTTTAATTAGACAAAAAAGGGGAAATGCTGTGGAATAATTTTCATGTACACTGTAAAGATTTGTCACTTGAATTGGTTTAATAAAATGCTGATTGGCCAGTAGCCAGTGTGGACAAACTAAGAATGCTGGGAAGAGGAAGGGCGGAGTCAGGACCCACCAGCTAGACACAGAAGAAGCAAGATATGGAAGTACCAGTAAGTCACTGGCCATGTGGCAATACATAGATCAATAGAAATGGGCTAATTTAAGGAATAAGAACTAGCTAATAGTAAGCCTGAGCCCTACACAGGTCAAACAGTTTGTAATTAATATTAAGCCTCTGAATGACTATTTTATAAACTGCTGTGGGACCAGGCAGGACAGAGACAAGGCTTCAGCTATAGAAGTGTGTCCCCAGGGTGGGCTTTGAGGTCCTAAATGCCCAAGTCAGGCCCAGTGTGGCACTCTTCCTGCTACCTGCCAATCCAGATGGAGAACTCTCAGCTCCTTCTCCAGCACCATGTCGACTGCACGTCAGCATGCTCCCTGCCATGATTACAGTGGACTGAACCTCTGAACCATAGACCAGCCCCAGTTAAATGCTTTCCTTTGTAAGAGTTGCTGTGGTCATGGTGTCTCTTCACTGCAATAGAAATCCTAACTAAGACATGGCTCCATTATCCCTTCTACAAAAACTACAGAAGCCCCAGTGGTTCAGTCCCAACAAGCTGACAGAGTTCATCAGCAGGCGCTTTGGGACCCACACCCGAACATTCTGCTCTGACTAAATTCTCTTAGCCACTTAACCAGCCATGAACTTCTCCTTTAGAGGATATGATGAACCTCTCATTTATTTATCTCTTTATTTTCTAATTTTTATCAATGAACTACATTTTCCACTTATATCCTTATAGCATTGTTTAGTATATGTACCACAAGATTAAATAAAATGATAAGGAAGGGCTGGAGAGATGGCTCAGAGGTTAAGAGCACTGACTGCCCTTCCAGAGATCCTGAGTTCAATTCCCAGCACCCACATGGTGGCTCACAACTACCTGTAATGAGATTTGGTGCCCTCTTCTGGCAGAATACTGTATACATAATAAATAAATAAATCTTTTTAAAAAATGATAAGAAATATAACCAGGATGGACCCTCAGGCCTAGTCCATCTCCCATCTAGCTGTTTCTCCAAGTGTCTCCATGTTGGGGCAGCTGACCACCGCTCCATGCACCTTCCTTAAACCTCTCACATCCCATAGGCAGAGGTCCATAGGGCTGGCTACCACTGCAGCTCAGTGATCCAGGCAGTAGGAGGCTCTATTGCCCAGCAGCTAGACCAGAACACGCAAACTGCTATTGGCCTTGACCTTGCCTCCTGAGTACATGTAGTCATACCAGGAAAGCTAGTGTGTTGAGTCCTCCTTCCCAGAACCTGCCTTCTACTGGATGCTTGCAGAACTCTGTCACAATGCTTTCCCTTTCCTTGGCTTTTAATTTGGTCCAGTGCCTAGGGAAGAATCAAGAGGTTGTGTTATGCAAAGGGAATTGCCTTTGAGGACATAGCATGTGGCCATTTGATATCAGTACTGGAGAGGTACTTCTCCCAGGGTGCCCTTGAACCTGTCATTCTGCTGTGAGTCTCAGCTTTAGGGAAACTGTGGAGCTATCAGTTGGGAAGCCTTGTTACCTTGTGAGCTGCCAAAGGAAAGTTCACGGTCATTCTTTCTTCCTAGCTGTCTTCTGCCAATAGTCTAGCTTTCCATTCAATGCATATTTCTAGAAGAGAGTGTGGCAAGAATTGCCAATGTGAGAGAAGTTGCTTCCTCTCTAGGCAGACAGAGCTAAGCACAAAACTAGGTGACAAGAAGAGAGAAGAGAGTGAGTGTGGCCACGGAAGTGGGAGGTCCTCAACCTGAGCTCTTTTTGGTCATCAGGAGCAGCTGCCTGTTGCCAAAGGTGCAAAGCGATTTGGGTAGGAAAGGGGTAGATGGGTTTTCAACAAATGACACTGGGACATTTGAAAAACCACCTGCGAAACGATGGGAGTTAATTTAAAATAGATTAGATTCAAACGTGTATTTGTAAATTTATAGCTAAGCAGTTTTAGACAAAGGTGCCAAGAAAGTGTAAAGGAGACTTTAATGACTTAGGATGAGAAAATTATGAATCTACTTGCAAAGGAATAAAATTGGACCTCTGCCTTATACAAGCAATAAAACTGACTAGAATATGAATCAAATGCCTAGATGTTGTAGCAAAACTGTACAAATTCTAGAAAAAAGATACATACAGACATTTGTGACTTTGAATTGGACAATGATTCCTTAGATGTGACCCCCCTAATGTCATAAAAATATAAATTATTCTTTGTCAAAATGAACACTTGTACTGAAAGGACACTGTGAGAAAATAACTCACAGAATGCGGCAGGTTACAAGTGTTAAATCTGATATGCATTCTGGGCTGTGAATAGATGAGGAACCTTTACAAATCAAGGATAAAAAGACACCCCCTTTGAACTTGGCAAATTTTGCATAGCTATTCTTCAAATAGTGGTGTTAAAGTGCTCCGCAGCTCATGACAAGGTGTGTGGCACCATTGGCTGGCAGAAAGCCCCGGGCAGAAGATGCTGCCTCACCCCAGCTAGAAGAGTTATGCTTTTTTAGTTTGTTGTGGTTGTTGTTAGAGAGTGATACATACTGTAGGTAACAGAGTGGAGAAATAATTGGAACATGTGTCTGCTGCTGGCAGGAATGTGAAATTGCATAACTAGCTTTTAAGATAAGTTGGTGATTCCTGAGAGGTTAAGGAACTACCATAAAACTCAGCAGTTCAACTAGAGAATTGAACATACATATTTATACAAAGATCTTTGCATGCATAAGCATTATTTTGTTGTATTCATAATAGACAAAGATTAAAATAGTCAAAGGCCCTTTAACTGATGAATTAATAAACAAAGTGTGTGATGTCAAACAATAGACTATTACTCATTCAAAAAAGGAGTAAAGTGTTTACTACAGCAAGAATTAAATTTGAAACATACTGTCCAAGAGAAACTGGAAAGTGAAGGCTAGATATTATCATTTGGATGCATTTATGTGAATATCTAGGGAGACAGAGACAAAAGGTGAACCGATGTTTGCCTGAATGCCATTTGAGAACATCACCTAACTACAAACAGGTACAAAGGGCCAAGAAAATAATAGAAAATGTTTGAAGTTATGTTAAGATCATCTTATCTGCAGATAAGAGGATACAGGGCCAGAGACAAGTTTAGAACAACTTAGGAGCTGGGAATTGGGTGGAGCTTCAACTGAAGCAGGAATCACCATGTAGTCATCGGACTGATCATAGACATACAGTTTGCTGTTCAGTGAGCAACTCTAATTTTTGTGTACGTCTGAAAATTTCACAAGCCTTTTGAGTAATAATCCAAGACTCTCTTCTTAGTGCTAATAAGAGTACTTAAAATTCAACTTGACAAATTTACTAAGAAAATTATTGGAGTCTTAAAATGGATAAATTTCATGGCATGAAAATTATACCTCAATAACCTTGTTGGAAACAAAATCAGAACCAAACATAAAGGGATGTCTACATGACAGTACTGAAAATCCCAAGGGTACATGGACTGACATGATGGGATGATTTGTGAGTGCAGGGCCAGTAGCCAGTGGTCCCAGGCTGAGAAGCTGATAGAGCCTGAAGAACAGGAATTCTCTGAGCCTGGAAGGGATTAAGTAAGAGAATAATTCAGGCACATAGAGAATTTTTGCTCATGTCTTCATAAAGCTTTCCAAATAGTAGCTGTCTTAGTTAAGGTTCCACCTTGCTATGATAAAATACCATGACCAAAAGCTAGTTGTGTAGGAAAGAGTTTATTTAGTTTACATGTCCTGCATTCACGTCTGTTGAGGGAAGTCAAGGCAGGAACTCAAACTGAGCAGGAACCCGGAGGCAGGAGCTAATGCAGAGGCCATGGAGGGATGCTGCTTATGGCTTGCTCAGCCTGCTTTATTATAGAATCCAAGACCACCAGCCCAGAGGAGGCAACGGCCACAGTGAACTAGGCCCTCCCACATCAATCATTGATCAAGAAAATGCACCACAGGCTTTTTCACAAGCCAGTCTGGTAGGGGTATTTTCTCAATTGAGAATTACTCTTCCCAAATGTGTCAAGTTAACATAGAACTAGGCAGAACAGTAGCTTATGATTCATTCACTAAATGCTTTATGTGGATTACTTTAATTTTTACAAAACACTACGAAGTCGGCATTTTTTTTTGTTTCCCATGAAAATAAAACCTAAGAAAGAGAGTTGGATAATTTACTAAAACTAAACAACGGCAAGCACCACATCTGAGATCCAAAGACAAGGTAGCTCCATCCCAGAACCATGATTTTAAGCTGTTATGATGAAAGGGTTCTTTTTAGTGTGCTGGTACTGAGCAGACAATGCATATTCCAAGATGCAAAGGATTTGAACATGATGGACTTATCAGGGATGTCCTTCATGATGCTACCATCTCAGGGTAACTGGACAGTTTTCTAAATCATTAAAAGATACCTATACAAATGAGTTTATCAGGAAGCATATGCGATCCAACAAGGCATGATACAATCCATGCCATCAAGCAAATGATTATGCCTGAGTGGTCACCTTGGCCTCTTCTGCTTCAATATTTTCTCTGTTGGTAATTTAGTTCACAGTTATTTGTATCTCCAAATCAATACATAGGATGGCTATTCAAAATTAGGATATTTATAAACTTCCCCAAAGAAGTAAAATAATTTATGTCAACACAGAGCTACAATACACCCAACTCTTCAGTGCACTGCACATCCAAAAGAAAAATACTTGGGAACCATTACTGCAATGGACTGTGGAAATGAAAGACTTCAGGGCCAACTCCTACTGCTTGCTAGTATAAGCAAGTCACCTGATTTTTCTCTGATTTTTCTCATCAGAAAGCAAATGTGACCCACTGGAAGATAAAAATGTACTTAGCAGCTTATACATTTGCTTCATTTAAAGAAAGAGAGAGAGAGATTCTAGGATGAGTAAAATACAAAAGTCAAATGCTTCAGTGGCTAGATCAGTAACGAATGCCAGTGCTCTTAAGCACCCACTCAGCCATCTCTCCAGCAATCATAAACAACCATATTTTTTTTTTTAGAAAATGAAGAAATAGAGTTAAGCTTAAGAATAGAGGATTTGAGCTAAGCTCCCAGATCTATAGGATAGCTGATTTTCTTGGCTGTGTGTCTATCCAGAACCAAGCAGAAACCCTTTTTGCAGGAACTCATCTTCAAATTCACAACTCTCTATTTTTTGCACACGTGTGCCCAAGACTCAATACAAAAGCAAATGTTGTGTGGATATACACTAAAATATCTGCAGATAAGATGATATGCGGCCAGAGGTGACTTTAGAACAACTTAGGAGTTGGGAATTAGGTGGAGATTTAACTGAAGCAGGAATCACCAAGTAGTCATTGGAATTGATCATAGGCATACAGTTTGTTCATTGAGTAACTCTATTTTCTGTATATGGCTGAAAATTTTCAAAAGACTTTTAAGTGATAACCCAAGACTCTCTTCTTCATAGGGCTAACAAGCATACTTCAAGCACTCTGGTTAGAATAACAGTTATGTCTGAGGCTATCATGTTTTACAAATAGAATTAATGCACTATAATTCTGTTCAAAGATAAAGCTACCAAATTCAAAAAGTTCTTCAGTGAACACTGAGAAAGGGCAGAAAGAATCTAGGAGCTGGAGGAAGAGATGGAGTGTCCTGGAACTCTGTCTTCCAGACATGACATGTCCAATGTACTCATGATCTCACAGCAGCTGTGACACCTGCATAAGACCTGGACAACATTGGCTCCACCCCTCCTGGTATCTAGAGACAGGAAATGGTGGCTGGAGGAGGGAGAGACATTTTCTTCAGTGGTGTAGACACTAGTAAATTGTCCATTCCCCTTAAATAATTCCTATGCTTCCACAAGCAACCCTGAATAAACTCATTGGGTGGTGGATGGTAAATTTGATAAAATATAATATGTGCACTTGTGAAAAATGTCACTATGAAACCCATTGTCATATATAATCAATAAATGAGAGAGAGAGAGAGAGAGAGAGAGAGAGAGAGAGAGAGAGAGAGAGAGAGAGAGAGAGAGTCACTCACTTCTAAAGCAAAGTTCCTTCTCAGGTCAGGTTTTCTATTTGGTCCACTAAGAGCCCTTCTCCACTTCTTTTGATGGATGTCAGTCTGGCTCTCTTCAGTCCCCTGGAGTCTGCATTTCTGAGTTGGTTTAAGTGCCCTTTACCAGCTGAAGCTCAGATTTCTCCCACAATCTATGTCCAACCTCACAATGTGTCAAAGACTGCACGCAATAAAGGTCAGGTAGGCAAAGGGACTATAGCCATGGTGTTCTCCAAATGACCAGGCAGCTAGAGGCCTCATCTGGTACCACAGCAGGTCCATGACCTTCTGCACTTGGCATTTAAGCACTTGGCCTCCAAGGATTGGCAAGAACAGGAAGTAACTACTGAGTCTTTGGGACTCTGTAAATACATTTTGAAGATAATTTTCCACTTTCCAATGTAGTAGCGTCTAGAAGCTAGCCAGTGAAACCCCTTTGAAATCTGAAGGCGCTGTGAAGTCCAAGCTATAACCCTTGGCCTTCCGTCTGTGAGCAGAAGGCTACTTCCCTCCAGTCCCATCAATGTTCTCCTTTAAGCTAAGGTCAAATGCCACCTCCATCTTTGTTGAGCATTAGTCTTACAAAATCAGACCAGGCCAAATATACTGCTCTAATAATTGAGACTTCATGAAATTGGAATGACTTAACAGCATTGGAAAAGCTAAATAGTAAGCCTTCCATTAAAGTGTGTTATCCAGCCTGAGAGCATAGCAACGTTAAGTTACTTGCAGCTCAGAGCCTCTTTGGTATTGGTTTTAAGTGAACTTTTTTTAAAAAGAAAGTTAGTTTTAGAGAAACAGGCATTCATTTCTTTTGAGAATAAGTTTAAAGACATCAAAATTATAATATTAAAAGGAAAACTGCATTTTCCTTGAATTCCATGTGGTAAGCTCTGGGTTTCCTTGTCTTCCAAAGTGTGCCTCTGTGTTTAGTGGCTGTTTACTCTGGCTTTCATTAGGAAGACAAAGGGGATTTCTTTGGGTTTTGTTCCAGTGGAGAGAGACAGAGCAAAGGACAATAGAGCTCATCTTCTGAGGTTTAGAGCTTTATTTTTTTCCTTATCCCCAAGAATCAGCCTGTCCCCTGATACCTTTTCTGGTCCTTTCCGTGAATCCTTTGTGAGCACATTTGTCCAAGCCGGTATGGGTGCCCTGTTTCAGATTATCTAGTGCATATTGCAGAACCAATGTGTGTATTTTTCTTCTCCATGGGTCATTTCATTGGCACATACCTAGGCCATCGAAAGAACTGGCAGGCGGGGGGCCAGTCCACCCTGGACAATGTGTGCCTTCGTGTCTGCTTACTAATTTAAAGGCTAGTTTGGGGTGAATGTCTATCTCGTAAACTTCTCTTCAGCCAAATTTAACCTGGCTTAACTGTTGGTTGGTGTAATTAGCTTATCATTACTTTTTATTCACTCTTTACAAATAAATAGTCTCATCAAACTATAAATTATATATTTTATACCATAACTTACAGACACTTACAAACTGATAGTGTGGTGCTGGGAGACAGGTACAAACACTCACCTGTCAACCTGAGTTGATTTCCAGAATCCATGTAAAAGTGGAAGGAGAGAATTGACTCCACAAAGTGGTCCTCTGACGTGACACCAATGCCGTGGTACGTGTATGCCCATCTAACACCACACACACACACACACACACACACACACACACACACACACACACACAACAAGAAGAAAAATAAAGAAACCAAAATGGTGTATTAATGACAGACTAGAGGATATGGATTCATAAAAAAATACAGATAAATATTCAATCAATAGATATTTTTTCCTTGACATTGTGAGTTTATTTCTACCAGTATGAAAGAATAGTGCAAATGTTTACCAAGGCTAATGGCAAAGAGAAAATTATATTGAATTAAATGTTCAGCCTTGTTTTGAGGAAGACTTTTTATGAAAAGCAAAATAAAGCACACAAGAAATTTTTTATAAAAGTTTCTCCCTGAATGAATCCTTTTAGACATACAATCACCATTCAATATTTTATTTTCTGCACATATGCATGTACATACATTTGTAACACATATTTATCCATCATCACTTTAGGTGTGATTTTCATTTTGAACCAATTCAGGCAGTGTTCAGAACGTGAATCTGTGGCCTCGCTGACTTGTGGGGTTCCATCTCCCCGGGCAACCCTTTCAGCCCTCTTCACCAGAGCGAAGGTCAGTTCAATCCAGTGCTCTGAGTTATTTTTCACCCAACCACTAAATTCATGATTTTTTTCTCATACTGATTCCCAGCTCCTCAGCTAAGTCAGCAAAGCGATGGTATTTGGATGTGTTGACCAAGGCAGGTGGGAGGGAGCTCTGGGCACTGTCCACCCTTGTGCACTTCTTGCTCTAGTTCAGTTTCTGGAAGGCATCTTATATACTGACACAACCGTCAGCGTGGGCATGAGTTTACTGTGTGTGTGTCTCCGTCTCCAGCTCCAGCCTCATTTAAGGACCTCCTGTTTCCAGATGCAAATGGACTCAAGAGGTCTTCTTCAGCAGTCACCTTTCATCCTTTGGCTCACAATCTTGTTCTTTGCCAAATTTGAAAAATATTCTAGAAAGTTTATTCATAGACCAAGCAATCGAAGCTGTGCCTTTTCAAACACTTTTGAGAGTTCTTTGTTTCTATTTTTTTTAACTACCACAATTTTATCGTAATTTGACTTTTTAACAGAGCAGTCTTCCACAGCCAAACGTCTGTTTGCCCACAAACATGCCCAGGTAATTGCCAATGTTGACTGGGAATGTGAGTTAAGTAATTGTTTTTATATTGTGTGATTGTGTAATCATGACTCCGTGGCATGTTATTACAGAGGGCTGCAGAAGCGCAAGGCTTTGGAGTGCAGATTGATAAATTCAAGCATGACAAAGTAAGTGATTGGAATCATCTAACTTCATGGGGAGTAGACCCTCTGAGGCCTTCTGCTTTCTTTCTCATGTCTGTCATTAATTTTTAATGTTCTTACAACCTCAACTAAAAATATCTGGACATGCATCTTTCACTTAAAAAAGAGAAGAGGTGTGTGGAAAAGACTCAGTAGGTAAAGCAGTGCCTGTCCCTGCAAAAAGGGCCTCAGTTCAGATCTCTAGAACATAGAAAACACTGGCCACATGACTGTATGGTCCTGTAACCTCAGCCTTGCAGGGCCATGAAGTACAAAGACAGGTGGATCCCTGAAGCTATTAGCCAGCCAGCCTAGCCCATTCCTTAAAAGTAAGAGACCTTGTCTCAAAGAGCAAAGGTAGAGCCATGAAAGAAGGATAGTCAGCCTCAAGCATACACACACACACACACACACACACACACACACACACACACACGGCCTGCACATACACAACCGCATGCGCTCCCCCACACAAACACACAGCTTTAAAAACAAGAGGGAAGGACTGCCATGGGTCTGTGCGTTTCTATTGACACAAACTAGCAGAAAGAGGTATGATTTGGAAAATGTTTCCACTTCCTCCTGCCATAGATAGGAACAAACACAGACTCACAATTAAACAATGTGCAGAGAGAGTGCGAGATTTGGAACACTTAATCCCAGAAGGGATGTCTTCATCAAATCCCTCCCTGCAGGGCACAGGAAACTCTGCAGAAGAGGAGGAGGAAAGGTTGTAAGAGCCAGAGGGGATGGAGGACACCAGGAAACAAGGCCTGCTTCTAGACACAGCAGGACTGATGCACATCTGAACTCAGAGACTGGGCAGCGAGTATGGGGCTGCACGGATCTAAGCTGGGCTGGGTGCCAGCCCTGAGGCTGGAAGTGGGCACGAGCGCCCATCTCCACCCCAGAAGCTCTCCACTTGATAACCACTCACAAAGGGGAAATTACTTTTCTCCAATGGAGTCTCACCAGGTATACAAACCACGCTTACAGGCAGGAGGATGCTAGCACAAAAACTAACTCAATGGTAATTTGGGGAACTTCTTTTGTGACTCAGATTGCTTTGTTTTGACTTTTTTCTTTTTAGCCTTAACAATCTTTCACTTGTACATTACAATTTCAAATTTTGTGTTTTTATGTGTCTCTATGTGTATGTGTTTCTTGTGTTTTTTTTCTTTTTGATTCTGACTTGTTTTTTCATTTTCTTTTTTGTTTTCTAAAGAGAAAGAAAGATGATGTGAAGTTAGATGGGTGGAAGGTGAGGCAGGTCTGGGAGAAGATGAAGGAAGGGATACCGTGTATGACTGTATCAGGACTGTAGTATATGATATGAAAGAAAATTTATTTTCAATTAAAAAGTAAAGAAAAATGCTTCCAGATATTCACCTGGTTTCTAGTGTGCAAATCCTAAGATCTCAGACAAGAAGGGTGAGGTCAGAATAGCCTGTGAGGATAGAATGTAGAGACAGAGCTGGGAACCCACAACTAAAGCAGACGGTGCTGCTCTGCATTTCACTGTTCTACGTCACCAAGAGGGTGGGAACCGTCCCCTTAGTTAGAGGTCAAGCCCTAAGGAAACTCGCACAAACGTGTTTTCCTGCCGCATGCTTCTTTTACTGTAACACCCAGCTCTGCTGCTCTTTTAAATATCCCACCTAGCCCAACTTAGGTCACTCATATGCTCAGGAGTATGGGGTCCTCATATATGAGGGGTATGGGGTCCATATACAAGGGGTATGGGGTCACCATATATAAGGGGTTTGGAGTTCCCACATATTCAGGAGTATGGGATCGTCCACCAGAGTGAGGTCTACTGGGAGCCATACCCTTAAAGAAATTTGATTCTTCTTCCCAGAAGCCATCAGCTGTCCACAGCTCTTTCATTAAAGGTGGGAGCTCACGTGGGCAGTCAATACAGCAGAGCAGCATCGAACATTGAGGCAGCAGACACTTGCACATCCCTCTTGGACCTTCAGAATTCATATTTGCACACACCTTCACGTATATATTTTAAAGTTTCAAAATAGAGAGCCATGCTTCAATAGAACAATAAATGAATTTACTAACCATATGGATCCATAGATAATTTTATTCTGAAAGCAGCCTTAGGAAGTTTTCATTTCTTGTAAGAAGCTGGGAGTGAGCCATTCATGTTAGTGAAGGCTTGGGGAGAAGTAGACGTTTGCATTCTCCTGTTTGGGGTCTGAGGAAAACTGATCACAGGGAGCAGGAAAACCAAAGCTTGAAGAACCCTGGGCAGCAGGACCTTCGGTCTCCTGAGACCCTGTTCATGTGACCTGGCTCTCCTCAACACGGGCAACTCCTTTCCCTCTCCTGTGCGTTGACCTTGACTTCGCTAAGCCTAGTTAAATCGCTTCCACCACCTCAGTTTTTGCCCAATCAGATTGCCATTAGCCCCAACGGTTATTTTATATGTTTCAACCATTAACATGTTTGGTTTGTTTGCTTTGCTCTACAAATATACTTTTATCCGGAGGGCAGGGGGGGACACGGTGTATGTGCCTCATAGGAAGATGACCACAGTCCCATCAGTGAATAGCTCACTTGTCACCCTCTTGGAGTCACAAAGAAAAGTGACCATGGTTCTCTCTCTTATCCTAAGTAGTTGTTTCCAACCATGGCATCACCGTGGGGGGACAGGGACGGCACCATGACAGCTATACCAGAGTGCCTATTGCATGATAGTTCTTCTATGTATCACAGGACAGCTGCAGCCAGGAAATCTCAACAATACAGTCACACAAGCAAAATCCAAAAAATGACAACTGAAACCGACGAGCTGACTGGAAAAGGGAATTCTCACAGGGCTTCCCTTCTGAAAGGGCTACAGGTGATTAATGGTGGCTGAGAAGGGGAAATCAGTATTCTCCAAGGACAAGTCCCTGATAGTCAGTCCCAAAGGGTCAGAGTTAGGTCTCAAACCTGGGGTGCCTATTTAATATATCAAAACAGGCCTAGCAGCCCGGTTTTCCCAGTATCCCTCAGTCCCTAACTGTTAGGGTGTGGCTGGCATGCCCCACCCCGACCCTGAACTCTCCAGCCCAGGGCCTGGGCTGCTGTCCCCTACAGCAGCTCTTTCCTAACCCAGCCATTTTGGCCCTGAACTCTCTTGTAACTCTTCGGCCTCGTGATGCCTCTCTTGGCCTCTTGGTTCTCGGCTTCTTCTTGGTCCCCTCTCTCTTCTCTTCCTTTCTCACTCCCTCATGCCCCCCCCACCCCTGCCATCCAGGGTCCAGTTCAATCTATTGGCCATGTCTCGCCTGCTGCTTTCTCTCCCTGCTCTGGACTATTCCAGATGCCTCTGGCTGTAATCTCTGTCATATTGACAATAAAAACTGTCTCCTCAACTATATCTTGGAGCCGCCATGTTCTCATTTTCATCCAGTGAGCACTAAACACAGAAAAGCAATACCAAATGATCTCAGTGGGTTGCATTTATAAATTTATAGACATAATATAGGTAACCTTTATTGTTAAGGATCATGAAATAGAATAAGAGATCGGAAAAGGACAAGAAGAATTGGAAGGAGGAGAAGAGGGGAATCATGTAAATACAATGCTCATGTATAAAATCCTTTAAAAAACCTGGATTCTCCTGCTCCAGAAGAACCAGTGTGTAGCAAGCACTGGACATTAATGTTTCCACCCTTCTTCAGGCACTTGCAGTGTGCAGTCAAGGCTGAGAAACGCTGTCTAAGAGAGCTCC